ATAATAACCCAATAGAGAATAACTTATACATAAAAACAGTTGTAATATTTCGTTATGCCACTATGCCACTATGAGTATAAATTAACCTACAAACTTTTAAGTGAAATTATGATGAATCCATAAGAACTTTGAGCGTGAAGGACTGTTATGGTACAATGATTAATAAATGGACCCACTACCAAATTAAATTTTCGAAGGTTTAATTGAAGCAAATTACAAGTAAAAATTTAAAGCTTCATTAAAAACATTGTTAACAACAAAGAGAAAAACATATATAGTTTGCACTTTGCATATTTATATCTTAACTCGAGTGATTTAAGATTCTACAATTTTGAAATTGTTGCTATTGGTTCTACTTCCATAGATTGATGAATTTCTTTCAAGCTTTTTCCTTAAGTTTTGAGAGTTTAGTTTCTATTTATCCTACTAACTCATTTCTAGCAATGTAAAAATAAATTCATGTTTAATTTTTCATTCACTTTTTTTTTTTTTTTTGCTTAAAAAAAATTAGATGGTGAAATGGAAGGTAAATAATCTCCAATCATTTTATATAGTCTATATACAAGATTTACTCATACTTTCTTATAATATAATTTAAAGTTTTGAACTTAAGATATCTCTTTTTTTTTTTTAATAAGAAACATAACATTAAGTAGACTCAATAATTAACTATTTTTGTTCATTTTATTATGTTGTAAATTAAGAGAAAAAAAAGCATGTATTATCATAATATCAAATGTAATATGAAAACTAATTTTTTCAATTGAAAATAAAAAAAAAAACTTTTCTCCTCTAATACATTTTCAGATTCACTAATTACCATCTATTTGTATATTTATAATAATTCCAACCTTGAAAATTCAAGCCTCGATAATTATTACTAATCACTCCATTTCACAACAAAAATGCAAAGCAGCAAGTTTACGCAATGCTCAATAAAACCAAAGGAAAAAAAAATACTAAAAGGGTCCTCTTTTCATTAAATTTTTTCATTCTAGTTAAAAGTAGAAAATTTTTTTTTTTTTTTTTTTTTTTTTTTTTTTTTGTTTGCTTATTAGGGGTTATTCTTCCTTTTTTTTTTTTCCTTCTTCCTTGGCTTTTTCCTCATTTTAATTTCTTGTTTTTTTTTTTTTATTTTTATTGAAAAAAGATAATTATTGAACTATTTAAATAGTAAGTAATTATTTTTATTTAATAATTAATATTATAAAGTTAATTCAATTGACGCTATTGAAGAATTTTTTCCAAATGAAAAATCGTGGGAAAAAGAAAACATTTAAATCATTTTACTTCATTTGCGCTTCTGACTTGGCAACCAAAGGTCCATTTCCACAACTTTCTAAAATCCACCTTCCCCGTCCCGCCCATTTCGCCTCCTCTCTCGTCTCGTCTTCTCCGATTATCTTTTTCCTTCCTGAGTTTTTTCTGTTTTTCGTTTTCCTTCGTCTCTTTTCCCCATTTTCTCAGTTTTCTGGGATCACTCATGACCAATATTCATTAATTACCAGAAACTTCAAATTGGAGCCAAACCGATCCATTTTCGCCGGTAAGTTCCCTATTTCCACTTGATTTACGTCGCATTTTAAGCATCAAACTCCATGGCTGTTTCCCTCCGATCTCCACATTTGGTTTGCTTCTCCATTTCTCAGTTTCGAGTTTGGAAATCATGAGTCCTTCCATGTTACGTACTTATATTCATTCTTTATGTTCTAAGCTATTTCATCGAATGCACTTCTCTGCTAGATTCCTTCAATGTGAGAATATCATGCGTATCCCCCCCCCCCTCCCCTTTTTTTTGTTATTTTGGAGAAAATATATTCAAATGCAAATTGCAAGAATGTATGCGTGATGGAATTTGTACTTATTATATGCATGTTTGCTTCACGACCTGGATCTGTTTCTAAGGTTTTGATTCTTATATTTGATTGCTTTTTTACCGGCACGATAGGAGTTTTACTGCACTGAGCCATAGACTTGTATGGTATTTTGAATTGATCGGAGTGGTAAATTTCTCATTTATTTTGTCTTTTATAGGCGGTGGCTTAGACCGTAAGAAACTCTACATAATTCAAATGAGTATCTGCTAGGCTTTTGAATTAATACGCGAATGGAAGAAGAAGAAGAAGAAAAGAAGAAGATTGGAGAAACTTATGTGGATTCGGGTGAATTAGCTACTGTTGGGGAGGATGGGAAAGGGTCCTATCATGGTGAGATTGTTGATGTTAATATTCATAATGATGGAGCTTTGGTGAGAAATGATAGAAATGAAGGTGGTCATTCTACAGGTGACGCAGTGGATGAGGGCCAATTTGAGCAAGTGTGTTTAGGAAATCAAGAAAAGGCTGTTGGAGAGTTTCCCAGTGGTCATGTGGATTCAAATAGATTGTCAAATTCTGACAATGAAGGACACTTATCTAGTGAGTTA